TGCATGATAAATTAATTTCACATGTAGTAAAGTTATTGACCAATGACAATAGTTTGTTGAAGTAAATTAATGAAGTGATGAAAAGTCATAAAATGTGGAAATAACATTTTTCTTGTCTGCTACAAACAATTTAATCTAGGATTAAGACATTAAATATTAAAAATTTCTCAATTTTATAATCAAAACATGTGAAGAAATCTATAAATAAAGGCCGAGCAAAAGAAGAAGAGCATTATAAGAAAGTGGTGAAGAGAGAGCTATAGAGATGAGAGGTGTAATATCAAACTATCACCATTCTTACACTTTCTTCTTCTTCGTTGTCTTAGTTCTGTTTCATCGTGTGTTTTCGATCAATACTCTGTCATCTACAGAAACTCTTACAATTTCAAGCAACCGAACCATTGTGTCTCCCGGTGATGTCTTCGAGCTTGGTTTCTTTAAAACCACAAGAAGTTCTCGAGGTGGTGATCGTTGGTATCTTGGCGTTTGGTACAAGTCAATCCCCGAGAGGACCTATGTTTGGATTGCTAACAGAGACAAACCTCTTTCCAAGTCCATTGGAACATTAAAAATCTCTTACGCAACCTCGTCCTTCTCGATCATCACAATACTCCTGTTTGGTCAACGAAGCTGAGGAAAGCTGTGAAATCTCCATTAGTGGCAGAGCTTCTCGCTAACGGCAACTTCGTGCTTAGAGACTCCAAAAGCAAAGACCCGAATCGTTTCGTATGGCAAATCTTTGATTTTCCGGCGGATACTTTACTCCCGGAGATGAAACTTGGTCGGAATATCAAAACAAGACAAGACAAGTTCCTCACGTCTTGGAAAAGCCTTAATGATCCATCAAGCGGAGACTTCTCGTTCAAACTCGAAACTCAAGGTTTACCTGAGTTTCATCTTTTGGCGAAAGACAACATAGTGTACCGAACCGGTCCATGGAATGGAATGGGGTTTAGTGGTATACCAAATATGCAAAACTGGAGCTACGTTGTGAACAGTTTCATAGAGAACAGAGAGGAAGTTGCTTACACTTTCAAACTGACCAACCAAAGAATCCATTCGTGGTTTACACTAAGTTCTACAGGGTTATTACAGATGTTCACATGGACTTCGACATCACCAGTACCAAACTTGTTTTGGTCTTCCCCGGAAGACCAATGCGATTTGTACTGGGGATGTGCTCCTTACAGTTACTGTGACACGAAAACGTCACGGGTTTTTAATTGTATCAAAGGCTTTGCTCCGAAGATTTTGGGAGACGAATTCGGTAGTTGTGTGAGGAAGTCACCACTGAGCTGCGGCCGAGGAGATGTGTTTTAGGCGATGAAGAATATGAAGTTACCGGACACTACTACAACGATTGTGGACAAGAGAATCGGGTTGAAAGAATGTAAGGAGAGGTGCATTAGAGATTGTACGTGTACCAATTTAATGCGAATGCGGATATCCGAAATGGTGGTTCGGGTTGTGTGATTTGGACCGGAGAGCTCATGGATATGAGGAGTTATGTCACCGGAGGTCAGAATCTTTATGTCAAACTAGGTCCTGCTAGCTTTGTCCACTAGACATTGATCGGATACAATGAAATTTCAATCTATCGGGATCTCGTATGCGTTGGATATATATCTATTTCCATTAAGAATATATAAAGAA